GGCTCAGCCAGCCATCTTCACATTGTAAACTTCCGCCATGACTACCCCAGTGATAACTTGGATGTGGCTATTTCGTGGCACATTATGGCCTATTCATTTGCCGAAAACTTGCTGTCAGTCTAAATATTTCGTGTACATTCCAACAACAGCAGCAATACTAATAATAATAATAATTACTTAAGACATTCAATGGACATGTTATTATTTATTGGATTTTGTTGGGATTCGGACACACGACCATTGCACTCTCCCCATCTCTGTTGAGCGAAATTGAAACACTGGGCTATCTACCAAATCATTCAGCATTGCGGCACATAATCTTTAAACGTCACTAAACGCCAAACCAAACTCATCATAATCATGTTCAGTGGCAGTAAGCAACCTCATCACAGCTACCCGAACATCGAAATGTTATGGTTCCCCTATGAAAGAATTGCTCCTGCCTGTCAGCTTCAGTTATATGGAATTGCTAACATTTTGCCAACGGACAATCAACTCCACTATCCATATTTATGTTGGGTGAATAAAACAAAAGGCAGGACAGTAGTAATCCCATCCACTGGCCGGTCAAAGACAAATGCAAATGTGTCCAGAATTTTCAATTATGACTTGAAACTATGATTATAATTTTTCACTTTCAAAATCATTTCCTAACATTTTTGGATTTCTCATACTCTTCTTTCTCTAGTTTTTTAATATTTCTTGCTGATACCAAAACTTGCATACAAACGTGTGGAATTTTAATATGGCTAAGAGTTGCATTATTTTACATAGACGTGGAAATTATGTGGATTATGATATGGATAATAACTCATTATATTGTTAAAAGTAGAAGCTATATCAAGTTTCCAGAATCAAACAGTATTGGATACATTCTAAATACTAAACATTTACTGCAAGCATACCATTTACCTAAATTTGGATATAGATACGTGGTTACGTGCATTTTTGTTGTAGTTCATAAATGTTCCTTTTTTATGAAAGGTATTTCGAAACGCTGAGCAACAGCAAATTGCATCGAATTTCTTTAGTTATTAACGATTATAAAGGCAACAATTTGTAAATTTCAGAACCTATTTATATGAGGTATTATTAATTCAATCATTCCAGGTTTTTGCCAAATTAGGAGTAATCTGTATATTTTTATCCAATTTGGTTGAATATTACCGATTTTATATGTCATACAAGTAAAAATTTAATGCACCTACTAAAACTCTTTCTATTTTTGGTAATCTTTAAGTGAATTCGCGACATAGTGTGAGAACTTGAATATAATCGAAGCCCAAATAACCATCTGATATCAAACGTAAAAATTACATTTTACTGTCTGTTTTCACAGTTTCCTGAGATTCCATTTTAACATTTTCTGATAATATAATCCATTTTGGATTGTCAGTATTTTTGGCAGATAAAAAGTTTGGCCGTTTTTAGGTGCTCTTCGCTTTTTTACTAAAGAGACTCTATTATTTTTTGTTTATAAATGAAATTCAATGCCCAAAATTTTGCTTATAGCTTTTGGCAAGTCTACTATGACCAGAACACAAGTTCCCTGTTGTTATGTTTCCAACCGAATTGACAACAGTTTACCATATTGAGTTCTGATTTTGAATAAATCTCCAAACAATTTTTTTTATTTTGAGTCGAAGCAACGTATGAATAAATCTACGCCCCAAAATTTCGGTATTTAAAGAATTTTTAAGGTTGTAATTCGGGTTTGATATGAAATACTCCCCCAAAAAAATATTCAGTTTGATTGTCCTTAAAGTAAATCGAATGTTCCGGTCACACGTTGGTTTCCTGGCGTCATCTGTCATTTCCGCGGGAAAGTTAGACATGTTTTAGCATAAAAGTTCTCCATTCGTTTGGATGTACGACCATACGTTGTGTCGCTTACAGGCACAGCAAAATCAATTTCCAAAAGTCACTATATGATATATTTTACCATTTTGTATAAACTCAAGAGAGGTATCCTTGAAATTAACCAAATTAAATATGTGATCTGTATCTATTTTTGAACCGATTAAATCAATCCGTACTCCAAGAGAGGTTTGTGTACAATGGGCCAAAATTATGTAAATTTTAAAGAAAATTAAATATGTGTTATCTGTTTAGATAAAAACAAATTTGAACTGATTTCATTTCGGAGAAACCTTGGGTATATGGGTGCTATGTGTAATTCAGAAGCGATTTCACACACGTTAGGCTATCCAAATTTCGGTATGTTGCGCAAAATTTCGTGTTAACCGGATAAGCGTGAAGAGTTTGGTGCACAATTTACCTAAAATCGGACGAACAAATATATGAAAGCTTTATTTAAATCTAAACCGATTTTAACAAAACTTGACACCATTTAGACTATACATCGATCAGTACTTTTTACAATCTTTGGTGGCAATCGGCCTAACTTTGTGTCTTCGGTGCACCATATACTTAAAGTCGGACGAAACTATATACGGGAGCTACAGTAGCGTGCAAAGTAATAGCAGTTCAACATTACTTCTTAATATATGCGGTATAATATGCATTAATATTCATATTTTTAATATGATTTTGTGATAAACAATTTTTTTTTTAAATCTATATATGGACAATATTGCCAATTTTTTAACATAGCTGAAGCGGAGGTCCACCCCTTTATAACTTGGGAATTACTTAAGTATATGAAAGAAAGTTAATAGTTTTAGTTTAATTGATCTGTCGTTGCAAACTTTTCATGATATTGACCTCCAAACTTTATTTGGGTGGAAGCTGTGTCTACATTAATGTAAAAAAATGTGTAAAACAGGTTGAGGCGAAACAGTTTTTATATGTTATCTATCGATTTGTGACTAAGCCACTCATTTCGCGGTCTTCGTGTCAAAGTAAAACTAGAAGCCTACAAAATGTGGACTACGTCTCTTATGTATCATTTTTCAAAAATTTAACTGCATCTACCTTTAAATGATGCTGACATTTTGAAGCTCGATTTTGAGTGTTTTTTTTTTTTTTTAATTTGACTTCTACTTTAATACGCAAACAGGAATTTCTAAAAATCAATTATAAGATTATTGTAGTCGCGAATCTGAGCAATTTGATATATATATATATATATATATATAAATATATATATATATATTGTGTATGTAGTATGCACAGCTTCAGAGTAATACTCATCCGAAAGTGGAAATTTTGTTCGATCAAATTTCTAAAAAAAACCTATTCTTCGGGCCAAATTTTTAGATCTGTCAACTGAATGATACGGGTACCCGCGATCAGTAAGTTTTTTACATTTTGGATGATATAAAATCTTCTTCGTGAAAATCCATCAATTAGAACGGCGGGAACTGGCCTTCCAAAAACACGAAATTCGGAAAAAATAGTTTTTGAAAATATTCTGTGGATCATTTCCGCTTCAATAAATGGCCTCATACGGATTTTGATCTTTTTCGAAAAGAGAACTTTAAAAACTTCAATTTATCTCAAAAATAGTGTGAGCTGGCACATCCATGGTTCTTAATGGACCACATTGAAATCGGTATAGATCGATGTATTTTTTTAGGGTGCACACCGAAATCGGATGCGCGTTAATGGCAAATTGAGTTTTCGGAAATTATTCGCGTTTTACGAGTTTTTGTGTACTTCAATGCAACATGTGGCACATCTTAGCTGTCAAATGAAATACGCATCAAATGATTTTGATAATTACGCGATTTAAACGTAATTTAAAATGTATATTTCATAACACAGTAGATATCGGATATAAGAACATCTCATATAAGAAACCGCATATAAGCGCCTTTATCATAATGATTTTGATAATTACGCGATTTAAACGTAATTTAAAATGTATATTATCATAATTTTTATATATGGCAATTTTTCAGAAATTCGTATATAAGGAATAAACATCTTTTTCATTTATATAAAATAAAAAAAATCGCATATAAGACATTATTTCTTCGATAATTTTCCTCAATATACTGTTTTGTTGTGGCTGTAATTTACAAACCGCTACACAGACTTGTGTGATTTTGATATCATTTGATTCATCATGGTGTTTAGATTATGTTGATATTTTTAAATTAATTTTTAGGTTGATACATGTCATTAATATACAGCCTTATTCTGGATATTCGCTTGGGAGATATCTCGCATGCAAAAAATTTTCGCTTTCACATTCTCGCCTTATTCTGAATGAATAGGGAGATACAAAAAATGCGAGATGCGGATTCGAGTTTTCGAAAATGGTGGTTGGAAAAAAATTCGTGTTGCCATATTGTAATTTAAGGTTTAATGTGCGTTGCCATATTGTAATTGAAGTTGTAATATGTGTTGCCCCATTGTAATATATTATTGTAATATTTTTCAATAATTTATTTATTGATTTTTTTATAAAAAATGGTTACTTTTGATTATTATTTTAAATTTATAACAATATAAATGTGTAAGAATATGTGTAAAAGACACAAAATTAATCATGATGACTTCTTATAGGTCTGTTGATGCTTCCCATCCTAGACGGAATTGCTGGCTTCTTGGTAAATTAACATAGAAATAATTGAATAAGAACCATATATATTTCATTAAACAAAAAAGAGAATATATACAAGCTGGATATCCGTTGGAGCCTGTTTGTAAGTCTGTTAATAAACAAAATCACAGATGTCCATTTAAGAAAACATTTTTTGTAGGTTTGAAAAAATTAAGTTTAATGAGATCTACTTTAAATATTTGCCGATATTTTAATGTCATTGATCGCACTAACAAAAAAGGGGTTTTAAAAAACCGAAGGAGGTTACGTATTTTTCTGCCGAAGGTGGCTACCAAAAAGGTGCACTGACGCAAAAAAAAAAACAGCTAAAATTACAAATGTTTGTTGTGCTTTGCATAACATTTGGCTTCATTTTAAGTGCAATAACGATTTGGATTCCATAGTTACTCCAAATAACGCAGGTATTCAGGAACATTATGTGACATCGTTAGCCTCACCTCAATATTTATCTGCAGCTCAAAGCTTATATATAGAACAAAATGCATATAATTTCATACTGAATTTACTATATATATATATATATAGAATATATATATACAGAATAAAAATCACTGGTGCTCCAAGGATTTTCTAATTTCGTTATTTTAGCTGCTCTAATTCCAAAAAGCGCTTATTTTTCTCAATTTTATCCTCGACTTCCTTTATTCTCAACTGCTGCATTATTGCATTATGACGCTTCTGCTCCTTTAGTTCCTCCTTTTTTAAGTCATGAAGACGTTCAATAGCACGATAAATTCTTTTTTGATTTTGTTGTTGCTCCTCCATAGCTTTTCAAATATTTTTCTGAAGAGACAGGCCTTCACCCAAAATGTCTGAGTATGATGACGTAATATGGAAATACACTGGGCTTCATTTCATATATTATATACATATATATATATATATATAAAATAAAAAATCACAGCTTATTTAATGCTTTTGTCCTGGTCGACATCGTCAAAATTGTCAATTTCTATAACGTTTGTCAAAAGGCGCTTATTTTTCTTCTTTTATTCTGAGGTTCCCAAACCAACTGCTGCATTATTGCCACGCCTTCTACAGACTCCTTCATACCTAATAAGTTATAAATGTCCTTTCAATAGCACGAAAATTCTTTTTTGATTTTGTTGTTGCTCCTCCATGTTTTTAAAATATTTTTTGTGAGACTGCATTTTGTCAAAAGCCCAACGTTTTTGATCACACCAGACCTAATAAGTTGTAATTTGTAAATTTATTGCATTTTGAACATAAATTTATGTATGTGTACCTATTCCCATTCCACAACATTTTGGTGGTCCTGATTGCGCCAAACACGGTTAAATTCTTCCTTGCTGCCGTTATACATTCCTCGGGCAATATCTGCAAGAGCCTGCATCGTCGCCACCAATATTTACAATTGTTTTTTATTTGTTGTTTTTGGCCTTTAAATGAAAAAAAAAATTATAATTTCCAATAATAAAATAACGATAATAAAACAGCAATTTAAAAAAGAAATCGTCATTAAAATATGTGCTACTAACATTTTTTGGTCAGCTCCCCTTTTATTTACTTGCGAATTTTCCCGCACAAATTGTCATCTCATTCTCCTTTTTCTTTTCATTCAGAATACTAAATTTTCCAACATTGCGAGATTTTTCACATTCGAACTTCGTTCAGAATAAGGCGAAAGCGAAAATGCGAAAAATTCACTGTGAAATGTTGTTCAGAATAAGGCGAAGGGAAAGAGCGAGTAAATTCACATGGAATTGACATCCAGAATAAGGCTGATAATGAAAATATTGACGTAATCTAATATATTTATATATTTTTTCTCATATTTCGCGAAGATGTGCAACTTTTTCGTGATTATTATAATATATTTATGTTCTTATTTTACGAAGGAAGATAAATATCAACGTTTTTGGTCAATATAATAAACCGCGTAATTTAAGATTTTGTTCTTATGGCCAAAATTAAAACTTCGACAACTTTTGCGCGCATCAACCAAAAATTTGATCGCGAACAGTTTTGGAGTCAGAACATTTTTCTCTATATGTGTACCAAAAATCATTAATGTACCACAAAAGCCGATTTTTTGAAAATGGAATATTAAAAAATTGGCAATATTGCCCATATATATATATATATATATATAAACCAATAAGGAAAGTAGCAAAGTCGGACTGGGCCAACTATATGATGCCCTTCACCACTTTGGGTATATTGTACATATCTATCCTAACAGACGTCGCATTTTCGAAGGAACATTAAACGTACATCCTCGAACTTCACCTACCTGCAAACAAAAGACAATTCTATGCAATGATTTTGATTGTATGTGGACAACATCCTGTCGATAGAATAGATATATATTCCTTGGAGGACCAATTTGACAAACTATGGGTATTTAATACACCATTTAGATGAAATCGCCGAAAAATATATTGGATCTACATACAAATCTGAGCCGATGTATTAATTCGGTAAAATCAATACCGATTTGTCATCATCTGTCTTACAGAGTATGTTTCATCATTTATTCATCAGCGAATTCTATCCATAGTACCTCCCCAATTTCCCCACTGTTTATATTATTCGTAGACGTCTCTGTTCGTCAAAGCTCTCACTTAAGCTAGTTTGAAACTTATTTCTCTGGCTTCATCATTCTTTTTCAACACCAATTTTGTTGGCAAAATTTTACTGGGGATAAGAATTTATCATTTTTTGGACCATGTTTTATATTTCTCCTTTCATCTACATATCATACAAGTCGTCGTGCTATTGTGTATTAACTTTGTTCTTCTTCTTCTCCACCTCCTTCGTTCGTTGCTTTGAAAAACTCATCAACGCTGTTATCGCCATTGCCACTACCATGACATTGCTCGATATCTGTTTTAAAGTCATGTTTGGCCATTATATTTTTTGGGGGAAACCGCTAACAACAAAAATTGTAGTTCGGATTTGACTATGTCGAGGGGAGGTGTTTAGGGTTATATGGTAAGTTAATGAAATGTGTGGATATTTTACGGAAAATAACATTTGTCTGTCCTTCCGTTGAAATCACGATAGAGATCGCAATATTTGATATAGAGATCTGAAATTTTGCACCGACATTGCTAGTACTCCTGGGATGTTTGTTATTACAAATGGGGTATATCGGTACACGATTTGGTGTAGCCCCATATAACGGTACCCCAACAAAATTTTAAAATTGCCCATGCTTCAAGATTATAGCTTTGTGCAGCCTCAAAAGTTTGTTACGCCGCGAAATATTGGCCCTAGACCATCTTTAAGTATGCCGATCGTCATATCTCGACTAGCTGAGTCGATCTAGACATGTATTTCCGTCCGTCCGTCTGCCTATTATAATTTGTAAATACGCTGCAGGCCAAAGTTATGGACCAATCTTCACGAAATTTTGCATGTAGAATTGGTTCTGGCTAATGAAGACCCCTATTGTTTTTGGTATTATTAGGGGATGAAATGGACCAAAAATTTTATTTTTGTCTGATTTTTTGGTCGCTCTAGAGGCAGCAATTATGGCCCAAACATCACGAATATTTACAAGGAGAAGGGGATCGGGCCAAAGGATAAGCGGTCAGCCTCTTTTTCAATCCGACTCGATATTAGATATTAAAAGTTTGAAACTCAATTGTTTCTCTTTTCAAGTTTTCCAATTATATTTTCTTTTTAAAATTGCCATAAAGTTGAACACATTTTCCATAACCCTCTACGTTCCCATTCTCGGACACACATTCTTATTATTTGAATTTTTAGTTGAAAATTGTTCAACATAAATTCATATCCATTACAATTGCTTCTTGGCCACTGCACTGCCACTGTTAATGCTGTAAAACTTCATTTGTGTTCGTGGGGATATCTTGGCTTGGCTTAAATTCGGTGTACGCGTTGTTGTAGGGACATTTACAATAAAACAGAAAATGAGCACTTGGCTTTTTCAATTCGTATTATCCCTCGTTTTCATTTATGTACATGTTCAATGTTCTCACTCACTGACTCACTCACCAGCTCAATTCATTCATATTCATATAGCCAAACAACAGGGATACATATATCTCTGATGTAGTTCCATCTTTTAAAATTGGTTTAGCAATTTATCTTCGGAAGCATACGCGAAAGTTATTACATCTTAACTTTTATAGCCAAATAAATTACATAGTTCAGTAGATTAGTTGGTGATGGTAGATGTTTGATGTGGTTGTTGTTCGGCGGGGTTATGTAATATATATGGGCTTCTATTTATATGATTTTGTATTAAATTGTTTCAAATGATCCATTCAACAAGATGTTATTATTACGTTTTATAACCTTGTGGCGGAGGATATTAACATTGCGGATGGAGAATAAAAGTGATGGATAGTGTTAGGTATACAGAATTTAAGAATTTGTCAAATATGAAATGTCATATTGTAGCTAATTCTGTAAACCAGGGCTGTCCATACTAATACGTAAAATGTGTATGATTGAAATTCTTTGAAATTCTTTGAAATTTAACGTTGATCACATGGGTTATTCAATTTAATAAAACTTACAAGTTTATAAAATATTGACACCTTTCTGGGGGAGTACTTGATCTAAGCTTTGTAAATATAATAGATTCTGCAAAGTTAAGTTCAAATCGGACATACCATTCGCCCAATATTGCATTTATATATATTTATATTGTTGTAAACTTTTTATGAAAACAATGTGATGCAACCCAGGGTTTTTATTTATATCTTTTTTCATTTTCTCATTTTGTGACCACTCATTTCACGGCCTTTTTATACCCTTCACCACACTGTGGTACAGGGTATAATGCCCTTGTGCATATGTTTGTAACAGGCAAAAGGAAACGAGATAGACACATGGTTCATTTTTAGAATATGCATAGAATAACTTTTTAAGCCGATTTATGAATGTCCGTCTGTCTGTCTGTCCATGATAAATTGTAAACAAAGTACAGGTCGCATTGAAGATCCGAATTATATGAAATTTGGCATAGGTCACTTATTTGGGCCAAGGACGAACCCTATTGAAATTGGGAAAAATCGGTCCATATTTAGATATATTTTCGTCCGATTTAAGGTAAATGGTGCACCAATGTACCTATATATCTTTCGATTTGCACGAAATTTGGCATAGCGTACTGAATTAAGTCTAGAACGATGTGTGTAAAATTTCTTGAAAATCGGTTCAGATTTAGATATAGCTCCCATGTATATTTTCGTCCTATTTTATGTAAATGGTGCACCAAAGTCAATATATGTCTTTCGATTTGCACGAAATTTGACACAGCGTACTGAATTGAATCTGGAATGATGTGTGAAAAGTTTCGTGACAATCGGTTCAGATTTAGATATAGCTCCCATATATATTTTCGTCCGATTTTATGTAATTGGTGCACCAAAGTCCCTATATATCGTTCGATTTGCACGAATTTTGGTATGGGGTACTGAATTAAGTCTAGAATGATGTTGCTAAGCTTCGTGAAAAGATCCATAGCAGGGCCGATTGACAC